TTTTATTAAAGCTGAATAACCATAGAATACTAACACATGAAGAAATATTAAAAAATAATTGGCTTAGGCTGTGAAAAACACCAGCAAAGTCAATTTTTTTAACAAAAAAATTTTCAAGTTACAAATCAAGCATCGTTTGTAATTAAACGGTCTACAATAACGCAAAACGTGCTGGAATAAAGTATCTGGACAATATATTTTTCTTTCTAAAACGCTGATTATTTTTTAAAAATTATTAAACAGTTTCGTAGAAAATGCACTTATGCGGCAGAAAAGCGGTACCGGCGTGGTTGCCTACAGGCCTCTACCACACCATTCAGTACACATAAATAAATTATTATTATTTTTTAAAAATTTAACCTCCTTTATTCTATACGTAGGTCGTTTAAGAAGACCTCAACTGTAAAAATGATATAATTATAATAATAAAACTTAAGTTCTTCTATAAACCAAAACTGATTGTTTGGATTTGGTCTCAAAATCAGGAAAAACGCGAAATTGAACCAGAAAATTAGAAAAATACATTAAGCGAACGAGAAAGGAAATGCCAAAACCTCGGAAAAGATAAAAAGGACCAGTATCCATTATATAGCTGAATGGATGTATAGTAGACAGATGAACAGAATATTTCAAGATGCTGCTAAAAGGGGGTCAATTGCAGTTTGGATGATATTAAGTGGACGATGTAGGTTTATTATGGTGAAAACCACTTTATTTTCGATTGCTGAAGATACACATCGGGACTATCTTCACTTTGAAGCAGGATATAGAGAAGTATATCGAGAAAGTTGTAGCTCATAGCTCTCCTTCTATTTAGTGCATTTGCAGAAGATTTTTTAAGGAATCCTTAATAATCCTCACCTGTAGATTGTCCGAAAGTATTGCAGAGCCTTCTATCTTGTAAGAATATTTCGTCACTTCTTCTAGTAGGAGGAGGTCGAGAGGCACCACCCCCGCTAGAACCTGCACCGCTTCATGCGAAATTGTCCTGTTTGCTCTGGTGACCCGAAGCAGAGCTGTCCTCTGAGGTTTTTTATGGAATCTTATATTAGTTATAGCTCGTTATTGTTCAGAAATTGCGGAATAAATTGTTCGGAATTTGTACCACATCATAAACAAATAGAAAATTTTAATCTTAAATGCATTATTCTCTCTTCACAAAGAAAGATGGAAAGGAAACCGAACTGCTTCGCACAGTTTTGCGGGTAAATAGGCAACAAGTATATTAGTAAATGATATGAAAGGGCTGTGGTTTTTATCTTTACAAGAAAGGAGATGTTAGGAAATTTAATACCCATCAAGATCCATTCCTTTTTAGTGTACCAAACAAATTATACTCAAGAATCGTAGAAGCTGGAATAAGAAATATTGTCGACTGCCAGAGCGATATGGATTGAGAAACTCAAGTTGCACATTGGAAGAGAAGTTGAAAATTCGGACTGTCTTCCCTTTAAGGCAGGTTATAGAGAAGTCCATATAAAAAAAAAAAAATAGCTCTCTATCTGCTAAGTGCTTCACACTTTGGATTATGTTAATATATAATTGTCTTTCAGAAAAGCTCGTTTTCCTTTTAGATTCCATAAAAAATCTTTTGCAAATGCACTAAAAAGAAGGAGAGCTATGAGCTATAACTTCCTCGATATACCTCTCTAAATCCTGCTTCAAAGTGAAGATAGTCCCGATGTGCACCTTCAGCAATCGAAAATTAAGTGGTTTTCACCATAATGGACTTAAATCGTCCACTTAATATCATCCAAACTGCAATTGACCCCCTTTTAGCAGCATCTTGAAATATTCTGTTCATCTGTCTACTATACATCCATTCAGCTATATAATGGATACTGGTCCTTTTTATCTTTTCCGAAGTTTTGGCACTTCCTTTCTCGTTCGCTTAATGTATTTTTCTAATGTTCTAGTTCAATTTCGCGTTTTTCTTGATTTTGAGACCAAATCCAAACAATCAGTTTTGGTTTATAGAAGAACTTATAGCGTCACCCTTTCTTTCTTCATCTTTCTTTGTGCATAAAGAATAATTCATTCAAAATTAAAATTTCCTATTTATTTATGATATAGTCTAACTTCTGCACAAAATAAAGGAAATAAAAATTAATTTTTTAATTAGTGATATATGAGTTTTATTCAACAACCCGGTAGCTATTCATTAAATTGCAAACGTTAAATAAATAAAAAATCAAGATATTTAGCAAAGTATTTTTTAATTAAGTTTTATTATTATGATTACATCATTTTTATAATGGAGGTCTTCTTAAACGAACTACGTATAGAATAAAGGAGGTTAAATATAAAAAAAATAATAATAAATTTTATTTTTAATTACAACTGTTTTTTTACACTTAAATTATTGCATTAATATTTGTTCGTTAATAAAACCAATATAATGTACCAAAAACGTTATTATATCACTATAACTAAGCCATTTATGTGTACTGAATGGTGTGGTAAAGGCCTGTAGGCAACCACACCGGTACCGCTTTTCTGCCGCATAAGTACCTTTTCTACGAAACTGTTTTAACATTTTTAAAAAATAATCAGCGTTTTAGAAAGAGGAATATATTGTCCAAATGCTTTATTCCAGCATGTTTTGCGTTATTGTAGGCCGTTTAATTACAAACGACCATAAAACTAACTTAAGTCAAAGTCGTCAATCCGCCATCATTGGACGCCATTTTGGGGCAGTGTGTTCACTTTTTTTTGTGGGAACATTGGCTTTTTTTTTAATAAATAGTTACAAGGAACACAACGATATGCAATTTATAGGGATGGGGTGCACGGTAAGGGGGTCTGGCCCACAGACTATAACATTAAGGTCTTTGCGGATGATTTTATTTGTAACAAAGTAAGGAGCGTTGAGGATTTTACGAAGTATTTTGATTTATGAGTCATTATTATGAGTCATTTGTTTGTTAGTTTATTCAGGCTTTAAGGCGTAAACCCCAAGGTCATCAACGCCTGTGAGTCAGTTATGTTTGTAAACTTTTTAGAGGAGAAACAGAAAAAAAAATGAACGATCTAAAATTAATAAAACATAGATATGGTGGTATATGAAAAAGATATTTAAAAACATATAAAAAATGAAATATATTAAAATAAATTAAAAAAAGAACAGTAAAATACAAATTATATCCATTTTTATATTTTATTTAATAGTCTATGGATTTTAAGAAATTTTATCACGGTTCCTATGTTTGATTCGTCGTTGTTTAATACTGCTGATATATCCGGTTTTAGAGATAATCGATTTGACCACACATTATTTTTTCACAAATACCTACCTTTCAGCTGGTTTTGAGCCAAATCGAACCAGCCATTTCAGAAATATTGGCATATCTACAAAAATGCGTTTGCGCGTGCGTAAGCGGAAGTGCTGGTTAGAATTTTATAAATTTGATATGGGACCATCTAGACACAAACCCGCACAATTCATACAACCCGCACAACGGTAGTAGGTGATATACCTGTTATATCGATTTGACTACAGACGGACAGACAGATAGACAGGCATACAGACAGACACACACCGAACCAAATTTTATTCTTGATGTCTGAAATGTAAAACGCGAGTGGAAATTTTCGATTCTGAGCATAATATTTTTTTAACCTCTTGTAGAATACAATGCTTCCCTATCTTCGGTAGTGAGAAAGCAAAAAAAAAAAAAAAAGAAGGATGTATATAAGAATGATGAAAAGAATGTGTGTTTTTAAGTGAATCACGTTTTTTGTGGAATACAAAGCAATAACAAAAACGATATTTAACTTAAGTAATTAACATTGCCCCACAGTAAACTAGACAAAATGTACTTTGAAAGAAAGTAGACTTTGCCTTATATGAAACCATTTAAAAAGGACTATTGAGAGGCTAAACGCAGCTAAGTTCCGTTAAAAAAATACCATAAATTATTTTTTATCATTATGCAACTATACTGCTGATACTCCACTTTTAGAAAAACTCAAGTTTTGTAAATAAATTATGTGATCTCCAGTCACCTTTAAGTATCCGTGTTTTCTGATACAATGACTACAATTAACTGTAGCAAAGCTTTTATTTCTTGTTTTTGTGCTATGGGATATACTGTAATAAATATAGGTGCCTAAAAACGCACTTTATTATTAAATATAAAAAATAAACAGAGTAAGCTACAGAATAGATCTTTGTAGATAGTTGATAGTTAACTATCAACCATTTAAATATTTTTCTCAACTTACGGGATATTATATATATATATATATATATATATATATATATATATATATTATATATATATATATATATATATATATATATATATATATATATATATATATACATACATTATTTATTTATATTTTTGAAGACCTTATTTATATCATGCTGAAAATTTGTGTCAATTTTATAATATATGACAACAGAATTCAAACATACATAAAAATAAAGGCGGAATAATTTAATTTGATATAGTAAAAGCTCTGATGAAAAAAAAATATTCCTCGTAGTTAGTAAAGAAATGAAAATTCTAAACGAAATTTAAATGACATAATTCATCTTTTGAAAATTAAAACTTCCCAAGCCAATTAAACAAAGACTGAATTCGAAATAAACTTTTTTCTGGGGTGGAAAATTCAAATCGGAGCTTAGTTCTGAAGAAAATTTCAATACGTTCCCCAAAAACCACTATTTTTAAAGCGTTTTTGATATTATAGTATTGTTATCAAACTTAATTATTAAATTTTTTTTTTAATTTTTTTTTTCTATTATTGCACCGGGCAATATTGGTACTCAATTCATTTTACAACCTTCATCAGAACCAGATGTATAAAATATTTCCCTATTAGACAAATCTCCTGATTTTTTTCCGGGATTAACTTAGCTTTAAATAAATTAATATTTCTAATGATCTTTACAAAAAATTAAACACTACTAAACTACTAAATGTTCCACTGATTTCCACTGAATGACTAATGTTTGACTCACACGAGGAAGTCAATATTTGAACAATACAATATCCTGACAGAGAACATGGAAAGATACTTTATTTGATCAGGTGCTTAAACGCTGTTTGTTATAAAAAATGGATCGTGTGTAATCACCCAGTAGTGATTACATCAGTAGTGTGTAGGGCAACAGATATGTTGCCGATATACTTTCTTCTATCCGCCCTTCTGCTCAGTACCGTTGGAGGAGATGCAAAATGTTTGGGATCTATTGGAAAGTGTAGTGAGATGAAATCTAAATTCCCATTATCTTCGAATGAACAATCTATTATGACAGATAATTTAACCTCTTCTTTTACTAAAGCAAGCAGTTCTAGTACGCAATCATCATCATCATCAAGTTCTTTTGGAGCTGGATCTGTTACTTCGAAGTCTTCTTATTCAAAGCAAGGTTCCAATTATTCCTCAGATGGGCAGTCACCAGTTACTACTTCCTCTTTTGAGAAACATTCCTACAGTTCTATGGATAAAGAGTCTTCAGGCGAACGTGTACCAAGCGAAGACAAGCAGCCTGTCTTAAAAACTCCTATCTCACTTGGATTAAACAATGGTTTGGTTGGTTTGAGTAGCCAAAGTAGTTCTTCAAGCAATCTATTCTCTGTTTCCTCAAGTAACAAGGCATTTTCTTCAGAAATATTATCTAAAATTAGCGGTCAAAATTTACTTCAAACTGAACCAAGCATAGCAGTTATTGATACTTCCACGCCATCATTTACACAATCAGAAATATCGAAGCCAAGTGAAATATTTTCAACCAGTGGTAAGACCAGTTCTTCTAGTTTCGCCCAATCATCCAGTAGCCAATCCTCATCGGCAAGTTCAAGTTCTTCTGATCCTCAGGTAATTTCTTCAAATTCTTATTTTTCAAAGCAAGGATCTAATTATTTCTCAGATGGGGAGTCACCAGTTACTATTTCCTCTTTTGAGGAAAATTCTTACATTTCTTCGGATAAACAGTCATCAGGCGAAGGTACAGCAAGTAACGATAACCAGCCTGTGTTAAAAAGTCCAATCTCCCTTGGATTAAACAACAGTTTAGTTTCATTATCAAGCAGCCAAAATAGTTCTTCAAAGAATCTATCCTCTGTTTCCTCAAGTAACAAGGCATTTTCTTCAGAAACATCATCCAAAATTAGTGGTCAAAATTTACTTCAAACTGAACCAAGCATAGCAGTTATTGATACTTCTACACCCTCATATACACAATCAGAAACATCGAAGCCAAGTGAAATGTTTTCAAACAGCGGTAAGACCAGTTCTTCTAGTTTCGAACAATCATCCAGTAGCCAATCTTCATCAGCAAGTTCAAGTTCTTCTGATCCTCAGATCATTTCCTCAAATTCTTATTTTTCAAAAGAAGGATCTGATTATTTCTCAGACGTGCAGCCACCAGTTACGCCCTCATCTTTTGAGAAAAATTCCTACATTTCTATAGATAAAGAGTCATCATCTCAAGAAGGTGTACCATCCAAAGACACCCAGCTTGTGTTAACAACTCCAATCTCACTTGGACCAACCAGTGGTTTGGTGTCATTGTCAGGCAGCCAAAGTGGTTCTTCAAAGAGTAGACCCATTGTTACATCAAACAGTAAGATATCTTCATCAGAAATATTATCTGAAATTAATGAGCAGGACTTAATACCACCAGAACCAGTTCTTACTTCCACAGAAACCGAAGCATCTACGCCTATCAAATTGTCTTTACCCAATAACTTGACAAGCTCTTCTAGTTTCAAGCGCATGTCTAATAGTCAATCTTCACCAAGTTCAAGTATTTCCGCTTCTGGGTCTATTGTTTCGGATTCTTCTTTCTCAAAGCAAGGATCTACTTATTCGTCAGATGGGCAGACACCAGTTTTTTCTTCCTCCTTTGAAGAGAATTCCCAAGATTCTTCTGATAAAGGAGTGTCATGCAAAGATTCTCAGCCTAAGATAAAAAAAACAACCTTTCTTCTTCCGATCAGTGATTTGATATCATCTAGCAGTCAAAGCAGTTTGGAAAAGAGTCAGGCTTCAGTTTCTTCTAGTAATAAGGTATCTTCTGCTACAACGTCAGGAATTTATACTTCTGCAGCTAAATCTACAAATATTGGATCATTTGAGCCCAGTGGCTTGTCTTCATCCATTGATTTGACTGGTTCTTCTAGTTCCAAACAATTTTCTAATAGCCGATCTTCATCTTCAAGTTCAAGTTCTTTTGATCCTGGGTCTATTTCTTCAAAGTCATCTTTTTCAAATCATGGGTCTAGTTTTTTTTCAGATGGGAAGTCACCTGTTGCTTCCTTCTCCTTTGAAGAAAAATCCAATAGTTCGTCAGATTAAGGGCCATCACATTATGCTAAGACTCCTAGATTGTGATTTGGTCAGCAGTCAAAGAAGTTTCTCAAAGTCCTACTCTATTTTCTCAAGAAATAAGAAATATTCTTTTATTTTCTAAGCATATTATCCTTCAAAGAATGTAATTTCAAATATAAGCTACCTTCCTATTATTTCTGTAAGCGATAAAATTATTTCATCGCTGAGGCACAAATTTGTTTCTTCAGGTCAGGGATCATTTCAGCATAGACTTCATTGAAATTCCGGAACTCTATAAGTCGAGAAAATTACGTATCATCAAGCCAAGCCTAGTAATTTTTTTAACAAAAATACTTCTACTCAACCCCAGCCTACAGTACATCCTCAGGGTCAATCAGCAACTCCTAGATTGTGATTTGGTCAGCAGTCAAAGAAGTTTCTCAAAGTCCTACTCTATTTTCTCAAGAAATAAGACATATTCTTTTATTTTCTAAGCATATTATCCTTCAAAGAATGTAATTTCAAATATAAGCTATCTTCCTATTATTTCTGTAAGCGATAAAATTATTTCATCGCTGAGGCACAAATTTGTTTCTTCAGGTCAGGGATCATTTCAGCATAGACTTCATTGAAATTCCAGAACTCTATAAGTCGAGAAAATTACGTGTCATCAAGCCAATCCTAGTAATTTTTTTAACAAAAATACTTCTACTCAACCCCAGCCTACAGTACATCCTCAGGGTCAATCAGCAACTCAAAAACAGGTCTATCAAACTTCAAAAATAAGAAAGTACCATATCGATAAGATGTATTGCTTAAATAAAAACTATAAAAAAGTCTCAATAGGATTGCTTGACTTCAAATATATTATAATGTTAATTATATTATGTCATAAACGTTACTAGTACTGTTTAAATAAAGTTTGTCTAGGAAGGCTGTTCTTATATTATTTCACCATTTGGTGTCCCTTTGCATTACATTCGTTTCTCAAATGTTTTTCAGGTTGAAAAAAAAAGTAATGGTAGTAATTTTTTTTATGGTTTCTAAGGAATAGAATGGTAATATTAAAATGAATTTCCTTCAACCACGAGAAGAAATACCTCAATGTGAATGTAGAAAAACTTAAAGGATGTTACTGTTTCCAAGATGAGGATCCATGCTTAGATGTTAAACAATTTGTATCGATTAATGTTTAATCATTGGGTATTTCACTTTAATATGATAGTATTTCGAATTACAGATATAATTTTTAGTTATTTCAGCATGTAATTTTTAGTCATAACAGAGCTCGCTGAAGACTACACTGTTTTTCTTCTAAAACATGCTATACCACAAAAATTATGCTTATTGAACGTTACCGTTATTTCACTTAACATTGTTCAACTAACACTATGGGTGCTAATTGCAAAATAAGTAGTTTCGGGACATTAATATAAGGTTGCATATCTGTCAACCATTTGGTAACATCAGTAACAGCGATTTAGTATGAAAACGTAACGAATGTTACTATTAATCGTACAAATTTAATATACTTTATATTAATTGTTCCCACTACCGATTGATCATATATTGAGCACTTAGAAACTGGAGGATTTTATAGGCATTGATGAAATAAACGAAAATCGTAATTTTTGTTTTTATTTTCTCATGCTGACTTGAAGTACTTATGGTTTTCTTTTATCATAATTTTTTTTTTCACGGAACGGCCATAGAGACCATGCGAATATCATAACATTTGGCTTCTTTCTTGTTTTTCCTTTCTTTCCACTTATCTCTCATTATCTCCGCGTGCCGCCGCTTTCTGTCCTCCGTCCACGCGACTTCCTTTCTCGAACTTTTCTTCTTAGCAAGAACCGTGATCTCCTTTAGTTTCTTACCATACCCCTCTCTATCCAGACAGTCCCGGTCCGTTATTCCAAGTCTTTTCGTTTCTTCCTTCATCTGCCTGATGTATCCTCCCAAGCTTTTGTATCTACGGATTTTTCGGAATATTTCCTTGTTAAGTCTTTCTGGGGCCATTCTTACCATATGTCCGTGGAATTTCAGTCTCCTGATCCTTATTTCCGGTTCTAGATCTCTTTTGTCCTTGTATATTTCCTGATTGTATCTTAGCCTGTATCCTTCTTTTGTATTTATGGGGCCGTAAATCCTTCTTAGAATTCTTCACTCTATTCTCAACAATTTTTCCAGACTGGAGAGGCAGGTGGTTTCCGTCCCGTATAGTATCACAGGTTTAACAACTGTATTGTAGTGTCGTAGTTTTGCTTCCGTGGACAAGTTTCTCTTGTTGTATATGTTATTGGTTGCAAAACTTAGTTTTTCCAATTTGGCTATTCTTTCCTTGATACTTTCTTTTTCCAAACCATTATTACATATAGTCTCACCCAGGTACTTAAATTTATTTGTTACATTTATTGATCCGGATTTGGTTTCCACTTCTTTCTTTCTTGAAGTCTGCGTCTGTGGTCACTAGCGGATCCAGGATTTAATTTTGGGGGGGCTTGAGCCCGAAACCTTTTTTTTCATAAAAATAACGATAATTACTTTGCAAAAACAGAAAGAAACTAACTACCTATATGAAATGGTGTTTAAGTTATTCCTTAAGTACTATTCAATGTAATTACCCGAAGAATAAAACTTTAAGAGGTATTTTTTAATTTTTTTTTCCCATATAACATGGTTATATTTTTCCATTTGGGGGGGGGGGGGCTTCAGCTCGAAAGCCTCCCCCGTAGATCCGCCTGTGTCTGTGGTCATTAATTTTGTTTTTTCGAAGGAGATTTGGAGATCCGCTTTTTTTTGGCTATTTCCGTCAATGTATTTATTTAGTCGATTGCCTCTTCTTCCGTTTCCGCTAAAAGTGCAAGATCGTCTGCGTAGTCAAAACACCTTACCTTGACGTGGTTGTTTTTGGTCCCTATACTTGCACCCACATCATTGGTTTTCCACAATTCCTTCATTATCCTATCTAGTACCACGTTGAACAGTGTTGAGGAGAGACCGTCTCCTTGTCTGAGTCCCGTCCTTATCCGGAAAGATTTGCTGGTGGTTCCTTTGAATCTTACCTTGGATTCGGTGTCAGTTAGTGTTAATTCTATTAGTTTCCTGGTCTTCTGGTCCACTCCGTATTCTCCCAGTATTTCCAGCAGTGTCTTTCTATCCACTGAGTCGTACGCTTTTTTAAAATCAACAAACGAGGTGTAGAGGTTCTTTTTGGGCCTTCTTTTGTAGTATTTTATCAATAATTTTAGGCTCAGGATTTGTTCTTGACATGATCTTCCCTTTCTGAAGCCTCCATGACATTCTCCGATTTTAGGGTCTATTTGTGGGTTTAGTCTGTTGAGTAGTGCTTTGGAGAAAATTTTGTACCTGACGGGTAGTAGGGAAATTCCTCTGTAGTTGTCAGGTTCTGTTTTTGTTCCTTTCTTGTGCAGTGGATGTATCAAGGCGGTTTTCCATTTTCTGGGGATTTTCTCCTCTATCCAGATGTCCATCATCAATTCTGTGATCTTCTTCCTGAATTCATCACCTGTTACTTTCCACATTTCCGCCAATACTCCATCCTCTCCAGATGCTTTATTGTTTTTAAATTCCGCGATTATTTCTTCTATTTCTTCCCCGTTGGGTGGGTCCGATTCCATCTCCAGGAGGGTGTTGTCATGTGGAGTCATTCTCTGTTTGGGCTCCTCGCAGTTCAGCAGTTGTTCGAAATAATCCGCCAGTATGTTGCAATTTACCTCGTTTATTTGTGCCAGTGTTCCGTCTTTTCTTTTTAGCACTATTCCTGGGGGGATGTAGCCTTTGACTCTTTGATTAAAAGCTTTGTAGAATAGTCTAGTATCGTCTGAAACATTCTTCCATTTCTTCCAGCTGCCTGTTGAGGAATTCTCTCTTTTTCCTTCTTAGTATTTGGTGCGTAATTTTTCTTTCGATTATATACTTTTGATAGTTCTCGACTGTTTTGTTTTGGTTCTAGCTTTTCCACACTCCCAGTCTTTTCCTTACTGCATCTTCGCACTCTATGTCCCACCATTCTTTTCTTTTATATATTTCTAGCGGTGCTATTTCTTCCGCCAGGTCCGTCATGTTCTTAGCCGCTTCTTCCCAGTTTTGTGGGGTTTCTAACCTTTCTCTACATTCATGTTTTTTTTTTCTTTTACCAGGATTTGTCTATCTATTTGCTTTTTCTTAGGGTTTTTTGCGTGTTGAATCTTTTTTGCTGGTACCAATTTTATCTTTATTTGTAAGGGGAAGTGGTCAGATGTTACATTGATTGCTCTTTTTACTCTGACATTCTGTATTTCCTTTTGGTATCTTCTAGTGATCGCCACATGGTCCAGTTGGCTTCTCCCAGGAGGGAATTAGGAGATACCCATGTTTTCTTTTTGCTGGGTTTGGCTTTGTAATGTGTGGGCAAGATTTTTAACCCTGCGTTTTGGCATAGTTGTATCAGTCTTTCTCCGTTCCTATTTGCCCTCTTGTGTGCTGGATACTCTCCCACTATTTCCCTATATTTCTTTTCTCGTCCTAATTGTGCGTTAAAATCTCCCAGTAGTATTTTTACATTGTTTTGAGGTATTTTAATAGTCTCGTCTTCTAGACCTTTCCAAAAGTCCTCCACCTTCTCCGGGTCCCTCCTGTTATCTTCATTTATGGGTGCGTGAGAATTTATTAGCGTGTATTTTTTGTTAGTTGCTTTTATTGTGAGGAGTGATAGTCTGGAGTTGGTGCTTCTGAAGTCTGTCACTGTGTTTAAAAATTTCTTTTCTACTACAAAGGCTGTCCCTAGGTGTGGAATCCCTTTCATGATTTTCCTCCCTGGTTTTCCCTTGAGTATTCTATACCCATCGAACTCTGTTGCTTCTGAGTCTGTGAACCTTGTATTATGCAATGCCATTATGGATATTTTCAATCTACGCAATTCTGTTGTAAGCTGTCTGAGTTTTCCCACTTGTATGAGCGAATTTATGTTGTACGTCCCAATGTAATATTTTTGTTTTGACTTGAATTTCTGTTGTTGGTTCTTTTGGTGCTCCGATGGACCACCTCTCCGCTTCTCAATGTCGGGCACCCTGGAATCCGATCGCCCGACTTGGTCTTCAGGGTAGTATTTTCCGTGTGAAGCTCCTTCCATGATATTGTAAATGTTTATTTTTGGGTCAGGTTACCCCGACTAAGTACAACTAGAGTAGTTAGCCCTAGAGGGTTTCGTTTAAGTTCCTCCATCCCTAGCCTTCTATCGAGATTTGGTTTCCACTTCTTTCTTTCTTGAAGTCTGCGTCTGTGGTCACTAGCGGATCCACGATTTAATTTTGGGGGGGGGCTTCAGCCCGAAACCTTTTTTTTTCATAAAAATAACGCTAATTACTTTGGAAAAACAGAAAGAAACTAACTACCTATATGAAATGGCGTTTAAGTTATTCTTTAAGTACTTTTAAATGTAATTACACGAACAATAATACTTTAAGAGGTATTTTTTAAATTTTTTTCTCATAAAACATGGTTATATTTTTCCATTTTGGGGAGGGCTTCAGCCCGAAAGCCCCCCCCCCCCGTAGATCCGCCCGTGTCGTAGGGTGAAGTGATGTAGTTTTTGTATCGTTTTCCTCCTGGATCTAGTTTTTTTTTATTCAGTTCCAATAGACAATGATGGTAAAAATTAGCGATCATTGGCCGTTTTTATCGACTATATCACTTAATCAAATTATTAAGTTTAGGTATGACGTCCTTTAATCGCTTTGGTGCATTGTTTAGTAGCAATGTATGAAAAATAAAGAAAGATAAGTCTTAATTATTTTGCTGTAAAAAGTTTTCCCTTGGTGACCCGCGTTAGCTATTTAGTTTTTTACATGTCTGAACCCATATACAGGGTGTTCCGTAAGTAAAGAGAAATATTTAAAGGAGTGATAATAGAACTCAAGCAATACAAAAAAAAAAAAAAAAATATATAAACAATGGTTCCATTTTCAGCAGGACACTAGTAAATTAAAGTTTCGTCATTTTTTAAATAAGTAACGTTATTTGTTGAATAGAAAGTAAAAACTATTTAATCTAAGTAATTAAAAATTGCTTCACTGTAAACTAGACAAAATTTAATTTAAATAAAACTAGAGTTTGCTTTTGTACCATTTAAAGAGGACTTTTGAGCAGCTAAACTCAGCTAAGGAGTGGGGGAAGATGGATAGTTGTGGGGGAATGGCTAGGGGTGGGAGAAGCACCTGGTACAGAGGTGCACCCCCCCCTGATAAAATTCCTGGATCCGACACTGGAATGCAGTATGGCTGTGATTAGGACCTGACCAGGGGCTTAGCAGGAGAGCAATCTGTGAATGATACAAGATATTTCTGAACGATGAAATGCTTTAGGAGGAGGAGGCATTTGGGGTGGAATATCCAGTTCTGCATCATTACATTCAAGGTGATTTGGATTAAGGATGTCAGGATGTGGATTAAAGGTATTGAAGAGGTGGTGAGCAAATATTTGGGATTTTTCTTCATCAGTTTTGGACCAGGTTTGAACTTAGGTAAGGAGAGGATGCCTACAATTATTGAATTTCAGAAACTATTTAATTTATCCATAGTGATTTATCGGTAGGGGTAAAGATATCCTTTAAGTACAGAAAGCAGGTTTAGATGTAAAAGATAATATTTTAATAACCGTGTTACATTTAATTAATAAGAATAATATTAATGTTTATGAAAATATCTTTAATAAACTTTATATAAATATATTAAAAAATCAAATGAATTTGGAAGACCCTAAAACCAACAGTGTAGTAACCAAATTAAAATCTAGTTGTGAACTATCTTTAGGTCAATTTCAAAATAAAATGTGAAATAAGTATCGTTAAGCGAAGATAAACAAATCAGAGCTGTAAAACAATGAATGTTTGATAACCGTTAGCTTTATTAAGCCCTATTAACTTCAATCAAAACTTTAATTTTAAAAAAAAATCATTTGAGGGTGAAGTCGTTTTAGGATGCAACATATTAAATAATTTAATAAATTCATTTTGCTCAAGTCAAAAGCTTATTTAACAATAGATAGGTAGTAATTAAATAGAATTTAAATTAATTAAATAGAACATTGTATGAAATTAACAATGGATAGTATTCATTTATATTAATAAATAAATACTATCCATAGTTAATTATTTTTTTAAAACTACAGCACATTAACAAGTACATCAGGGATCATCGTTCGTGATCAATCAGAGTAAATAAAATACTAATTTCATTTTATTTATTATCTCAGAAAAATTATTGTGCATCATTAAAAAAATTATGTTCGATTCCAGAACTCTTTTGGAAAAAAGTTTATTTCCCTACATGTTGATGAAAAAACAAATCTTTTTATTCATTTTCATCCAAAAAATGAGCAGTAAAGAAATAAAACAATATTTGGTACAAAAATGGTATTCACAGTTTTTTTTCATCTTCTTCTTTGATGACCAAGTAATATAAATTATATTTTATATAACTTTATGTAGAAATAATTTAATTATTGCCCAGATCAAGGTGTAGGAAAAATACAGCTCCAAATAAATAAACAATAACTTTTTTTTTTTGTACTTCATATCTCCATCCACACTTGCCATGATAGTGACAATTAGCAGATTTGTTGTTATGGTACAAAATGGAATGGAATAGGCATGATGAAGAATAGTACCTAGCAGCATCTCTTTCCTGGTCTGTTAACATTCTGAAATTAGAAAAGGAGATCTCTCGTCCGGCTCCTTTTCAGTCCCCTCCTGATTAGGATTTCAGCCGTGGCCATGTCGTTGATAAGTCCATTGTGATACCCGTATAGTTTAAGATGAAATCAGGAATAGAGATCACATATGTGATGGTCAATAGTTGGTTGTTGTAAGTCGTTATGTAAAGTTTTGTTGTTTACGTACCAAGGAGCTCCTGTTATAAGCCTTAAAATTTTAAATTGAAAAGATTTTAGTTTTTGTAAGTGAGTCTTTTTTGCTGAACCGTAAATCTGTGAGGCATATATACAAATGGATTTGAGCAGGTAAGTGAATGTATTTAGTTTTTGCCTGATTTTCAATTCTGATTCGGAAAAAGGGGAGTATAGTATTATCAGTCACTTGTTCAAAGTATTTCATTTCATTTTGACATGTGGTCCAGGTCATCCTTCTGTTGAATACTAGCCCGAGGTAATGTACAGTGTCCTTCTGAGGAATTTGATTGTCGGCGATACTGGTGGGCATGTGTTCTCCGTCGAAGTGCAAATGTTTTGCATTGTAATTTGGCATGATTTAATTAAATTTTCCAAAGTGAATACCACTTTTGTAAATTTAGTAAACGATTTTGTAAATTTAGTGAGGCTAGTCTGGGATCATAGTATTTTGTTAAAATTGTTGTATTGTCAGCATATGTAGCAGTCAATGTTTCGGAAGTGGTAGGCATGGCATGGTATAGATAATGTAGAGTAAAGAAGCCAATATTGATCCTTGAGGCATCCCTATTGAAACTGGTTGAATTGAGGAAATTTCTAAACCTTGTCGGACAGAAAAAAATCTGTCAAAAAGGAAAGACAGAAGAATGAGATAGTATGTATGAGGTAGTATAGTTTTGAGTTTAAAGAGAAGTCTCTGGTGCCAAAATTTATGAAATGCCTGGGCAACATCCAGAAACACGCTAGTTGCATATTGTTTTTGCTCTAGCGCTCCAGAAAGGTAGTCAATAACTCTGTGCAATTGGTGTGTAATTGAATGAAATGTATGAAAACCAAATTGATGGCTAGGAATTATTTTTCGTTCTATTAATAAAGAACTAAAGTGATAAAATGTATATTCTTTATCTATGACATTCTATTTTTAACTATCACATCCCTTGCAATTACAATATTCTTTTTCCCCAGCGATTTTACTCATGATTTATCTTCTCCAACACATTCCAAGATTTAAGAACATAAATCCTCATTTCATGTCTAACTTTCTACATAAAATAACTATTTTTAAGTATAAAACAAAGTTATATATAAAAAAAGTTTACTTGTGGAATACATAAAATTTGAAAGAGATCATAACAGTGTTCCTTGCAGATTTTTGTGGGAAGTTTTCTAAAATGAAAATAATAAGAAAAATGTATGAAGGAAATATCTGTCTATTTGAAGATGGATCTTACCTCCTTAGCCTTTCCCAACAAATAAAGGACTCTTTTCTCGGGTCAAGACTAACTGTAAACCTTGAAAGAAAATATATTGCTTTATTACATACCCTTTGAGGATGAACAGATCATCATTACAAAGCTACAGAAGGTGGTGGTTACATAGTGAAGAAGTTAGTAGAGCAATATTAACAAAGATTTTGTTAATAATGTTAGGAATAGAAATTTATATTGTGTAATGAAGACATAGAACTGAATCCAGAAGAACCACTGAAAATAATTTAATATTTTACATAACTGGGCTTCATTGTTGAATTAAATGTTTCCTGCGATCTGCAGACAAAAGGAAGGATTGTAGGTATTAAAATATAATATATATCTTTAACACAATACAATCTAGTAGGATCATCATTCCTTAAGCCAAAAGAAACATGTGTATAAAAGTAGAAAAACCCACTGGGGAAACTCCTGGCAAGGAGTAACAGAAATGTTCAGAATGGATGTAATAAAAAATGAAATACTAAGTATAAAAGGAAGTAGAATAAAATGTGTTGGAAGAGAAAGAAGTTTTAAGAGGTTAAAATTCACTGTTTTTGTGGAACAATTAATTATTTCATTTGCACTGTTGACCAAATAGTGTTTTTATTGAATAATACATTTATAGATGATTAAAAAATTGTTAGTCTAACTTTAGTAATATTTATGATTATAACCAGGAGTACAGCTAAGTATGACTGCGTTAGTGTTTTCTCTCCAGAAAACATAATCTACTTTCTTGTAATTAATTAATCCTCAAAAATTTATGAAGTTCCTTCTAACTTACCATACACACATAAATATGCTCACTAGGTTGAAATGTTTTTCAGTATATCTGTTTATGTATTGCGCATGCCAACAAATTCTGCGGCCCAATGGTATTAATTATACCACTAAAATTTAAAAATAATAATGATAAATAATTATAGGAAGAAGCACAATGTGAACCGGATATTGGGAGAAATACGGTGGAGAGCCTTGACAGTTAACCACCCTGCTTTGAGGATTTGAATGTGCCTTAACTTCACTAAGAATAACCAAGCCCCAGGAGAAGATAATATTGCCTGCAAGATTTTTAAAAGTGGTGAAGACCTACTGCAGATTTAATTAATAGCATCTGGACAAATGATAAAATACCAACCAGTTGGGGCTCTGGATTGATTTGGCCTATCTTTAAAAAAGGGGATAAGACCCAATTCCAAAACTACAGAGGAATTACTCTCCTGAGTGTAGCATACTAAATCCCATTAAGTGGAAAAGTTAAAGATCTACTCTGATAGGATATTTACACATTATCAATGTAGTTTCCATCTTTAAAGTAAAGCAGACATTAGAAAGATGCTATGAGTGCAATACTGATGTCCACTTACTTTTTGTGGACTCTTAATAGCCTTTTGATAGTATTAGCAGGATTTAGCTTTTTCAGGCTCTTGAAGGTTTCAGTATTCCTTATAAGTTAATTAATTTGATTAAAATGACAATTGCTCAAACACAAGCAAGTGTCCTCATTAGAAATCAAACCAGTCGCAGAATCACGTTAAATAATGGAGTAAAACAGGAAAATGCCATATTAGCCATACTCTTTAATTAATTCTACATTCTAAGATGTAGGAAAAATTGTTTTGAATGGTAACCTGGCTCATTTATGAAACACAATGGTTCATAAATAAAAATAATAAACCAAAAAAATTGTATCACCATAAGGATAGTAATGTTTATAATATAAAGATAGACTCTATTTGTACAGATTAAATAAAAAATACTATACTAAATCTTCTTCTCATGCTTGTTCAACAGATTAAATTATGCTTAAAGTCTAATCTGTAATGATGACACAGTTAAATAAAATAGTTGAACATAAGCATAGTAGTAAGATAAAATTTAACAATTTATAAGGGCAATAGAATAAATCTCATTTAAAAGAACATAAATATATATTAAAATTATTTACAAAAATTGTATACAGGTTATATACATTATAAAATAGATCAACTTATAAAAACAAAACATTGTTACAGATTAAAAGCTAGCATTTCATTAGCTAGCTATTCTTTTAACATTTGATTTTTTACTTAATCTTTCTCTTTTCCTTTTATAATATTCTCCTTCATTGTCAAATCTTTTTTTGGCAAGAGAACTAATAAACCGTTCATGAAGATCAATATTTTTGAAAAATTCCAAGTGTTTTTTAATAGACTCTTGTATTTTCTCTATAACATTAGAATCCGATTGAGTACAGCCATCAGAGTTGATTTCAAATAGTAACAATGGCTTACATTCATTATTTAAAATAGTCCATAATTTTCCTGGTTCATTGAGTTTAAAACAAAGAGGGGTATAATCAGTTTCCACGACTTTCCACAATTCACAAGAAATATTGGCTCCTGTGTTTTTAATACAGTGTATCAATACTGAATTAACCCTGAACACTGATGAAATTAATAATGATGAGTTTGAATCAACAGCTGAAACCAGACCTCTATGAGAAACAATCTGAGAAATCTCGTCTTTCTTCAGGTTGGAGATATCATCTACAAGAGAATGTACTAATAGTTCAGCCCCAACTTCATATGACCAAAATCTAATTGTACCATCGCCTCCTGATGAAACTAACACTGATGTGTCATGAGGAATCAGCTGAACATATGTAATAAAATCTTCATGGCCCAAACAATAACTATTAATGACATATGATTTTGGGAACAATGAGACTCTTATCTTCTCATCTCTATCACAAGTTATGATAAATTTTTCATCAGGAGTCACTAAAACATCTAGGAGCATAGAGACATGGCCTAGCAACAAGGAACCAGGTGCACTGAAGTCTGCCAGAAGATGGAGGTAAACATCACCACTTTTATCAGCAACAATTACATTGTTTCTAGGTGTGAACAAAACCTTATTAGCCGACCTCTGAATAGTCTTTTTTCCAATCAATTTCCAATCACTAACATTCCATAGGCTTAAATATTTATGACAACAACACACAAAGAGTTTCTCACAAGACGAAAATGAAGAAGACACTATAGGGGCATTTCCATCAAATGTCTCACAAGAGTTTTCGGACGCATTTTCCTTCACTAAGTCTGTATGTCGGTGCAATTCATGAACACTAAATGAATTAGAGTTTAAGTCAATAGCTAATGTGTGTGTTTCATTAGATATTGCTATGTACTGCGAAGAGACTGATAAATCAATCATATTTGTTTGATAACGTAAAATAATAGAGAAATCTTTAATCATATAAACTATTTAACTATTTCTTAATGAACAACATCAAGTATTTACTAACATAGCACTCACGTGGGAACAGAACCTTCTTCTGAACCTATTGACTGAAGCATGACTGATCGACAACGATTTTTGTCGATTTTAACCAACGCCCATCAATGAGCTCAGCGCTGAGTTTAGGAACTTGTCTTCATTTGCTGTTTCAGTTTTGCAGTTGTTTATAACTTGTACTTGTTTATAACCTGTGTTTGAATTGTTGACAGTCTGCTTTCCTCTGTTAATAGATAGGCTATGTGTTTTGCTTGGTATTACCATGAAATTTATTTAATTAAGCAGTAATTCAAAATGGGAAAAAGATACTACTGTGATTATTGTGATAGGTCGTTTATTGACGATGCTGAAAGTAGGAGAAAACATTTAAAAAGTGTTAATCACGAGAGGAATAGAAAATTACACTATCTTAACTGTAGAGGTAATTTTTAATTTTTTACAAGCAGGGTTTTATCCTAAACTCAAGTTTTCGGCATCTTTAAGTAAAACTTAAAAGGTTTTTGTACCATCTAAATGTTTTAAATTTAGTCTATATTTGGTGAAACAATGTTGATTTTCTTAAGTCAGTAAACATCTTATTTCACAATATGTATGTGTAACATTGTGTTTTATTAATTTTTTTTGTAGTAAAATGTAAAAATATCTGGATCCACCAGTTTTTGGCACCCCTTTCCAATTTTTTGAGTTTTAAATTTCCATTTTTGGCAGTCTTCAGAATGAAAGAACTTCAGTGGTGTTGTTCAGGAATGTTTACTGCATATGTAGGTGTTTACATAAGGACAAATATATTGTTGCTGTTTCACTATTCTGAATTCATCTTTCAACTTGGAATCTGTAATAAATTTTTGTTTACTGGGAAAGTAAGAAAGTTGTGCATCAGTTATAAAAAAAATAGTCTTAAATTAAAGGTGACAAAAATAATTCAATAAAATGATAACAAATAACTGAATTGAACAGCAGACTAGTTTTTGGCAAGGTGAAATCTAGATATTCCGTGTGGAAACTAGAGCTAGGAGGGAGGTCAAAAATTAATTAGCGAAGGATCCAGCTTTGGAAATTTAATGGGTATCAGCTACTGAAGCCTTATCATGAGGCCTTTCGCCATTAGCTGATTGGTCTGAACTCTCATAAATTTTAAAAGATATACTCAATATAATGATGGGTCTTAAAAATTGGACCACTCACTACTGTCACGTTATAAAAATTGCTAATGATTTTGATTAAATATAAAGCAAAAATAGGTTTACCTACTGTTAAAAAAACTGGTTCTTGACAGTGACTAGCAATTATTAATAAATTTAATTCGAAAAACGCAATAAGTTAAAGGTAATTTTTGTTAATCTTACAATGAAGAGTACGAAATTTAGATTAATTGCATCCTTTTTATCATCCCTGTCAGCTATAGGAACATTCCAAATCTAACAATGTCAGCTACTAATACAATAAAATCATTCTCTTAATTTCCAATTTTTTAAAATTTAGATGAATGTTTCATGGATTTCAAATATGTCTTGGCAAGATAAGAAATAGTTCTATAAGATGACTCCATGAAAAATATGATAATACAAATATTTTAGTTTTTACAAGTAAAAGTTTAAAGAAATTTCCTTAAGCATGTCAGCTACTGATTGGCGTAGGGAGGTGGCGGCCCCATCTCCCGGTCATTGTACCGCAATCAGCCACTGGTCCTCCAGGTTGGAACAGTACACTGACACTCATACAGTACACTGGACATAAGATCATTCACAGTACACACCCTAGGATTATCTTCCCTAGGTAGCTGCCCCAAACGGGAGAGCAAGTCAGGATGCTCTGAGAGGCAGCCCGGGCAGGTTCACCTGATTCGGGGACGAGGGCCAACAACCCACTTCCCTTAAATATCTCATGTTACGAATCTCTTAAGAAAAAGTTGTACTGTCTTTAGTGAACGACCTAGGGGAGCCAAAGGATCTTGTAAACAGTTAATGTTGGCTACATGGAATGTGAGAGGTTTGGCGCAGGCCGGAGCAAGCAGGAATGTGGAAGGTGCATTGCTTTAATATGGTGTGGATGTTGTGGTGCTTCAATAGATAAAATGGAGAGGAAAGGAAATAATATATTTGGAATCATATATGATAATAAACAGTGGACATGAAAGGAATATTCTGGGAATATTCCTTATATTGCTTATATCCTTATATTGCTTCATGATCAGGAAATCTCTGAATTATTTACTGTTGGGATATAAGATGGTTTCAGAAAGATTATGTGTGATTCGACTAAAAGGAAAATTATTCAATACTTCTATCATCAGCTCTGACAGAGGACAGTGAAGAAGAAGAAAAGGACGACTTCTATGAAATATTCTACCAAGAATATGACTTTTTACTGCATCATGATGTTAAAATAGTTATGGGTGACTTGAATGCAAAAATTGGAAAAGAAGAAGTCTTTCGGCCAACTATCGGTATGTTAATGGAAAATGATAATGGAGTTAGAAGTATAGAGTTCACCCAAGAAAAAGGTATGGTGATCAAAAATACACACTTTCCTCATAAGGAAACCTGGATATCCCCAGACAGAAAAACTAGAAATCAAATTTACCACGTTCTAATTGATTCTAGACACTGTTCTGATATAAATTACGTGAGAAGTTATCGAGTAGTGGACCCTGACACTGACCATTTCTTGGTTAAAGTACCTTACTGACAGAATAGAATGCAATGTCCGAGTAAAGGGAAAAAGAATTATCAGATACCAAAGCGGAATTTTAAAAATACCTCAAAGATCAGAACAATTTAAAGATATTGTTCAGGAATCATTTTTACAGAAGTGTGATGAAAATAAGGAAATAAACAGTTATTGGGAAAGGATTAAATCATCTTTAAACGCGAGGGGCTAGGAAATTTTGAAGACAACACAGATAAGGGCGAGCAAGGAATGGTACGATGAGGAAGCCGACCGGGCACTTTGGGACAGAAAAGAAGCGAGATTGAGAATGCTTACTCTGGGTACAAGAAGAAGTCCTGAAGAAGGCAAAGGCCTTTCTGCAGAAGAACAGAAGTTTTGAAAAAAGCAAACTTGACATGCTCCAAAGAGATTTTGATTCAAAACTTTCAAGAAAATTCTACAAAGGGGTGAAGGAATTCAAGAATGGCTTCCAACTCAAAATGACAATATACAAAAATAAGAAAGGTGAACTTATCCTAACCTATTTAATATTGCCTTGGAGTATGCAATAAGGGTGATCCGGACATATCCTGGTGGCACGATTTATAATAGAATGACCCAGCATCTGGCTTGTGATGATAATGTTGTGATAACGGCAAAAAATAAAACATCATTAGCAGGGACATTAGAAGAATTCGAAACTGCAACTAAAGAACTAGAGCTACAAATAACAGAAGACTGTTTACATGCAAACCTCAAAAAGCCAAGTGAAATAGTCGAATGCGTCACAATTGGTAACCACACCCTAAAAGTGGCCGAAAATTTAAAATATTTGGGAGCGCTAATCACAGAAAACTATAAAATGGTAGAAGAATTAAAAGCAAGGATGAATGCCGGGAATAGGTGCTGTTTTGCATTGCGAAAAATATTGAATTACAGATCTCTTTCTCACAAAACAAAAGATCACGGTGTATGAGAAAGTCATCAGACCTGTCGTCACCAATGGCTCTGAGACTTGGGTGATCTCTAAAGCATCGGAAAAAAAAGTTACTCGCATGGGAGAGAAGGTTCTCCACAGGATCTATGGCCTGGTGTGCGAACAGAGACAATGGAGAATTCGCACTAATAAAGAACTATATGAAATGTATGTGAGACCGGATTTGGTCTCAATTGTGAGGGGAAACCAGGTGAGGTGGTTGGGCCATGTGCCCCGAGACACGATTCTCAAACGCTTGCTAGAGGATTCGCCTGTTGATAAACGTGGAAGGGGAAGACCACCCCTGAGATGGCTGGACCAAGTAGAGGACAGCCTGAAAAGGATGGGAATTCGAAGATGGAGAATGCTCGCTCAGGATAGAGGAGAGTGGCGAAGGATCATAAGAGAGGCTTAGGTTCTTACAGGACCATAGTGCCAAAAATAAATAAATGAATAAATGTCAGCTACTGGTGCATTTACCCTACTTTTATCTGTCACCAAATAAACAGATTAAAACAAGTTGTAACTTTCCAACTCTTATTTCCAAACATGGTTTGCGAAAATATTAATTGGTCTAACCCATCCAAATGAAGAATGCTTAGAGAATTAAAGGGGTATATGCATGTTTGTTCTTTTCTATTTTTATTATTCGGCATCTTTATAAAGATTACAATTCCGTAATGATTTACCACCTATTTCAATAATAAAAATAACTAAATATAATTTGGTAGATGGAGAATGCTTGCTCAGGATAGAGGAGAGTGGCGAAGGATCATAAGAGAGGCTTAGGTTCTTACAGGACCGTTGTGCCAAAAATAAATAAATGAATAAATGTCAGCTACTGGTGCATTTACCCTACTTTTATCTGTCACCAAATAACCAGATTAAAACAAGTTGTAACTTTCCAACTCTTATTTCCAAACATGGTTTGTGAAAATATTAATTGGTCTAACCCATCCAAATGAAGAATGCTTAGAGAATTAAAGGGGTATATGCATGTTTGTTCTTTTCTATTTTTATTATTCGGCATCTTTATAAAGATTACAATTCCGTAATAATTTACCACTTATTTCAATAATAAAAATAACTAAATATAATTTGGAAGATGGAGAATGCTTGCTCAGGATAGAGGAGAGTGGCGAAGGATCATAAGAGAGGCTTAGGTTCTTACAGGACCGTAGTGCCAAAAATAAATAAATGAATAAATGTCAGCTACTGGTGCATTTACCCTACTTTTATCTGTCACCAAATAACCAGATTAAAACAAGTTGTAATTTTCCAACTCTTATTTCCAAACATGGTTTGTGAAAATATTAATTGGTCTAACCCATCCAAATGAAGAATGCTTAGAGAATTAAAGGGGTATATGTATGTTTATTCTTTTCTATTTTTATTATTCGGCATCTTTATAAAGATTACAATTCCGTAATGATTTACCACCTATTTCAATAATAAAAATAACTAAATATAATTTGGTAGATGGAGAATGCTTGCTCAGGATAGAGGAGAGTGGCGAAGGATCATAAGAGAGGCTTAGGTTCTTACAGGACCGTAGTGCCAAAAATAAATAAATGAATAAATGTCAGCTACTGGTGCATTTACCCTACTTTTATCTGTCACCAAATAACCAGATTAAAACAAGTTGTAACTTTCCAACTCTTATTTCCAAACATGGTTTGTGAAAATATTAATTGGTCTAACCCATCCAAATGAAGAATGCTTAGAGAATTAAAGGGGTATATGTATGTTTGTTCTTTTCTATTTTTATTATTCGGCATCTTTATAAAGATTACAATTCCGTAATGATTTACCACCTATTTCAATAATAAAAATAACTAAATATAATTTGGTAGATGGAGAATGCTTGCTCAGGATAGAGGAGAGTGGCGAAGGATCATAAGAGAGGCTTAGGTTCTTACAGGACCGTAGTGCCAAAAATAAATAAATGAATAAATGTCAGCTACTGGTGCATTTACCCTACTTTTATCTGTCACCAAATAACCAGATTAAAACAAGTTGTAACTTTCCAACTCTTATTTCCAAACATGGTTTGTGAAAATATTAATTGGTCTAACCCATCCAAATGAAGAATGCTTAGAGAATTAAAGGGGTATATGTATGTTTGTTCTTTTCTATTTTTATTATTCGGCATCTTTATAAAGATTACAATTCCGTAATGATTTACCACCTATTTCAATAATAAAAATAACTAAATATAATTTGGCTGAAGTCACTAAAAGATCTGTAAAATATAATCTTTCTTTCATTGAGATGTCCTCATACTTTTTTATTTCCTTAGAGTAAATGTTTTCAACCTTGTTCCCGCAGCGAAGTGTTGAAATAATATAAATATGAATAAATTTAAATTTAATGACTATAAATTAAATAAGTAAAATTTATGATTCTATAAACAAAAAGTCATTTTAATTTTTAAAATATTGCTAATAAGATTTTCGCTAAATCTGCTACACTGAAATGTATGCATAAATTTATTATAAATTTATGCATAAACCCCATTTGAGTGCAATTTTTAAGATTTTGTCATTAAAAAAATCAATTTAGTATCATCTTTCGTATTTCCTATTCTCTACTAAAATGAAATTATAAAAAAAGGAAGTTATAAGAAATAAAATATTTTATAAAAACTTTATTTTTACCCAAAGCTTTGATACATGTTTATGCAATATAATTTTTTAAAACAAATTTCATAGTATGTTTGAAAATTTTAAAAAATCTGTTAGATAATACAAAATTGATCACAAAAAAAGAGCTCACACTCAAAGAGCGTAGTTGAAGACTCAGTCTAGGATTTTTTTATGGATGGGCTACCTTAATTTTCTCGCCTTTTCTCTCCTCCCCTCCCATCACAAATGAAGGTCAACAGTACTTTAGGTAATATATTTCGAAATAAATATCTTTAATATTACAACTTAAACTCTAATTTCATTGACTGAATTAGGTCAAAATCAAAAAGCAGAAACATAATATTTTATTTAGCCTTTATTTGAACAACTCGTTCGGAATTTACTGCATCCTAAATTTTTCTGCCCAATGAAAGTGCTCTTTGCTCCCTCCCCTAATTTCCTTCTTAGATGTAGTGGAATAAGTTACTGATAGAAAGAAATATATGGTAAAGGCAAATGATTTTCTTTTCATAAAGTGATGATAGCCCGGGAACTCGTGACAAAAAAGTTTTCATACTAAAGTTTGTCCTTATAAATTGACCACCATAAATGTCCACATGGCTGATGAAAAAAATGCATGTCTGCTACTTATTACACTAACTATTATTTCATGTCTGAAGACAATAACTACTAAAAATTTAAAGGGTTGGCAGCTTTCTATATCTATAATCCCTCTCTATATATAAGTTTCTAACTATATAGAGTCTCTGTCTGTCTTCATCCATCATGTCTTCAGGCCACCATATTGAATTCCAGCACATATATGATGGCAGACATACATTTTTCCCATCAGGCCTGTGGATAGACACACTTTTTTTCCACAGGCTCCCGGACTATGATGTTGGTACCCATTCAATAATATTATAGTATTTATTCCTTCCATACAAATTTTAAATAAAAAGCTGAACTTTAAAATGCTAACTATATTTTATCTTGATTTGCAGATTTAAAAACTTTAGTAGACGAAGAAAGTAAGAAGGAAGAATGTAGGAGGTTTAGAAGTACAGGGTATTGCCCTTATGAAGAAATATGCAATTACACACATTACTCTAAAGTAGAATTGCAGATATTTGCTGCTGAAAGTATGTTTTTTTTTCAAATATCTTTTATTAATATTATAGAGGAGAAAGAATAATTTTTAATCATTTAATAACTAGAGGGGTATCCCCTGTCTGCCGAACGCCAGACCAATCTCCATTTTACAAATTATACAAATGAAAAAGATGTATGAAAGACAGATATTGTTAAAGAAGAGAATAGTTGAAAACATCCTGAACAGTTAGAAAAAAATCTTATCTAGGTGATGGAATTAGGGTGCATTATCCGAAAACCCTCATGGCGGCAGTGTTCTGCAGGCATTCCATCTTAAGTGTAAAATAAAATAATAAAAACCGTAATAGTCACTAAAAACTTTTTCATATAATAGAGATATAAATTTAAAAAGTATTCAATTTAAATTTATTTTTTTAATTTGTATTAAATTAGTGATCATCAGTCTTACTTATGCTTTAATTACATTACTGCGTTTGTGAATAACATGTTTTTAATTTAATCTCTCCAAATTTTTTGCAGTATAAAAAATTAATGGAAATTTTAATCAATAAAGTCAATTAGTGATTAAAAATTTTACTTGTGGTTGCTAAAACATTTCTCTCACAAATAACTACCTATGTATTTATTAATTCACTTAGAAATCATATTTTGCAACCTAGCCTGAGTTGGTGGATGAAGGTAAAGGAAATTTAAATATTCAGTCTGGGACCGACAAGGTAAGGCTTGAATGGGTTTCTGAACACTCTGGAATTTTAGGATAATATTGCTAGGAGGGGCTCACAACAGGTATATTTAGCAGCAGAGCCCATCTGTGGTATCAGCATCAGCTATTCCAGAAGATATATCAAGGTAGCTGTAGAAAGAAAACTAAGCTCTATAGGGAGTATACTAGGAAACAAACACATTTCAAGCTGTTCCTAGAAGCACCTTGTCCAAAGAGAAGTGTAATATGTCTACTCATGGATAATAGCAGGACTGTATAGGGGTCGTTGCACTGGTGGATCTACAGGAAGTTGTATTTTCGGGCTGAACCCTCTCCAAAATGTAAACATTATTTTATTCATTGGTCCATATTTGTTACTGTGTGTGATCTAAGTTAAATACTTCTATTTTTTAAATTATAATGCATACACAGCCAATAAATATAATCATATCTTATGAAAAACATATTAAAACCTTATCATTAACATTAAATGAATTTTCAATTACATTTAATTGCGTTTCATGAATAACTTAAACATAATTCCATGTATATAGTTAGTTTCTTTTAATTTCCAAGTAAGTATTGTTATAAAAAAAAAATCATTTGTGCAAAGCCTGCAAAATTTTTTTTTTATTTATTTTAAATGACATTTACAACTGTATACAAAAAAATACATCTAGTAAATTTGCACATTGGTATAAAGACATGGAACACATGTTGAGAAACTACCCATTGGTAGCACTCTAATAATATGTCTATATTAGAAGATCACGTGGCCATCTTCTTTTCAGACGCCTCGGAGGGTTATCAGGAATCGAATAGGAAGCAAGGTTAGAGACAAGAGGGTTGGGATGGTTATGAAGTTTATTATGGAAGGACAGATATCTGGATTGGGCCAAATCTGATACATAAGGAACATTAAGGTCATTATGGATAATTTTATTTGTAACAAAGTAAGGAGCATTGAGGATTTTACGAAGGATTTTGGATTGCAAGGACTGTATGCGAGAGGAATTTGAAGGCTTGGTGGAGCCCCATAGCTCAACCCCGTAAGTTCAAATAGGCCTTATTATAGTCATGTAAATCAGTCTTTTATAATTAATTGGAAGGTTAGAGCGTTTGTCTAGTAAGTGTTGAAGTAGTCGGAAACGCGTTCAGTCTGGTATGAGGATTCCAAGTTAGACGTTTGTCCAGATGGAGTCCTAGATAACGGATTTGTTCAACAGGAATAAGTGAGGTGTTGTTAAAGGATACTGAAGGACAGGAAGTCATTGGTTTACAACAAAGGGTGAAGGTAATTTGATGGGATTTATTGGAATTTATTTTAATTCTCCATTTCTGACACCATTCTTCCAGGTTTGTGATGTGGGATTGAAGGGTTTGGGATGCAATAGATGGGTCGTTATTGACTGATAGGATACATGTGTCATCAGCATATGTGGTGATGACAGTGTTGGGATGGGTTGGGATGTCAGCTGTATAAACTGTGTAAAGGATAGGACCTACGATACTACCTTGAGGAACACCTGCAGACTGGGAAAAACGGGATGTATATACATTGTTGTGATTTACTTTAAAGTATCTATCAGTAAGGTAGGAACGGATAATGAGGAAGTAGGTAGATGGTAGGAATTTTCGGAGTTTGTACAGCAGTCCCGGGTGCCAAACTCTATCAAACGCCTGTTCAACATCGAGAAAGGCTCCCGTACAGTACATACCGCGCTCCAATGCAGAGGATACTACGTCTACCACACGATGGCATTGCTGTATAGTGGAATGGGAGGAGCGGAATCCAAATTGGTGATCTGGGATTATGTGATTAGAATCTAGGATTGGGTACAGGCGTTTTAAGATTAGTTTTTCCAGGATTTTTCCCATGATGGGTAACAGAGAGATGGGACGGTAAGAGGATGGATATTCTGGTGGCTTTTTGGGTTTGTGGATCATTTTGACAATAGATATTTTCCAAGGATCAGGGAAATATGTTGATCGGAGTACAGCATTATATATGAAAGTAAGGAATAGGATGGCTTTTCGAGGAAGAAGTTTCAAGATCTGGGATGTTATTAGGTCATGTCCAGGAGCTTTGTAGGAGGGTAATCTTTGAATGATGTTGGATATTTCTGTGGGATGAAATGCTTTAGGTGGTAGGGACATTTGGAGAGAAGTATCCAGTTCTGATTCAATACATTCGATGTGGGTTGGATTAAGGATATCAGGATGTGGGTTGAAAATTTGGAACAGATGTTGACCGAATAACTGGGCTTTTTCTTCGTCGGATTTGGACCAGGTTTGGGATTCAGTAAGAAGTGGGTGATTAAAATCTTTAAACTTCAGAAGTTTTTTGGTTGTAGTCCATAGTGATTTGTCAGTTGTTGTAATATTTCCAGTTAGGTTCAGTAATTGTTGAGTTTTATATTTTCTGATTTCTGATTTTAGTTTGTTAGTCAATTCGGTATAGTACGTTTTGTCTGAAGGATATCTAGTCCTGTGCCACTTCGATCTTGCTCTGCGTTTATCCCTTAATAAGATTCGAATATGCTGTGGCAAGTTAATTTGTCTTAAATTATTGCTTTTATTATTAACAAATGTGTTATTATTTATACTCGTTGTTATAGTTGTATTAAGGTTTTCTATGGCATTATCAATATGTTGTTTTGTCTTGAGGGGAATTTTTAAGTCCAGTTTATCTTCCAGACCATGACGAAATTTGTCCCAGTCCACTCGTCCTGTAATTAGTTTAGGAAGTTTAGGTTTAGGAGCAAAGTTCGAATGTAGTAAAAGCAAAACTGGACTATGATCTGACGAAAGGTCATCCAGGGATTTGATAATGGATTGGGAGGAGGAAATCTGGGAGGTGATAAATATATCCAGGATATCGGGACGTTTTTTCAGAGATGTAGGCCAATATGTAGGATTCATGGGTGAGAGGATTGAATAACTGTTGGAAGAAGAGACACGTGATAGGATGCTACCGCGGGAGTTGGATGTTCGACAACCCCATCGTTGGTGTTTAGCATTGTAGTCTCCTCCAGCAATAAAGCGCGCTCCGAGGGATTGAAATAAGGAATCAAGTAGGCTATAAGAGAGGGAATTACCAGGAGGACAATATACAGCTGAAAGTGTTAGATGGAAAGGACGAGTTGAAAGGATTACAGAAGTTGATTGAATGGCATCAGTTGGAGTAGAAGGGATAAGGGAATGCGATAGAGATTTATGTATAAGGATGCAAGAGCCAGCGTGGGAAGTGTTGTCTGGATGGTCAGATCTATAAGTGATGTAGTCACGTATGTAGAATTGTGTCCGTTGAGTGAAATGAGTTTCTGTCAGAAGAGCAATGTCAATATAATTGTCATGGAGAAATATGTCTAGTTCGTCACGGTGGTTTTGTAGTCCGTTAGCGTTCCATAAGAGGATAGCTAGGGGCTTTGTATTCATCGGAAGTTAAACGGGATTTCGGAAAGGAGTCTTGTGAGAAGAGTTATAAGCGGTTTGATAGTTTGTTGAAGATCTATCAGGAATGATGATAGGATAGAGTTGATGTCGGATGATGTTTGGCTGGGAAGTGGATTTAGGTCATGAGGTTGTGATGAGTAATCTATGCGAATAGGATTGCTGGGTGGAGGGTGGGTCCGACGTGGGGTACGAGGAGTAGGATCTAAATTCTGTTGGACTTGTGATGGGAGGTTCATCTTGGGAGTAGGAACGAGTGGAGCTGGGTGTGGGTGCTCTGGCGGGAGTTTGACCCTTAAGGGTAGCTGATGGGGAGGGATTGGCTGACGAGGCTGTTGAGGTTGAGTATTAGAGCTTTTGGGCTTGGATTGGGAGGTTTGAGGCGCTGACTTTGAGGCTGCTTCTTAATGATGCAAGGCTGCCATTGAGAATTTCTTGAGTTCTGTTGAGGATAATCCTTAAGTGTAGAGATGGATGGTTGTTGTTGGACGGCGATGGAAGGTGAAGTCGGCAAAGCAGGGAATGTTTCCTGATTTTCAATTTCAGGTGGCTCAGGACAAGTTTTTTGAGCAGGTCCAAGGGTTTTCGTCGCTAAGTTGCGTGATCTCTGTTTGTGAAGATTTTTATACACCTCACAACCTCTATAGCTTGCAGGGTGGGCTTCACCACAAAGAGCACATGTAGCGGGCTCATCTTTTGGCCTCTGGCAAGTGTCTGAAGCGTGAAAACCGGCGCATTTAACACATCTGGTTTCGTGATGGCAATATGTCTTCGTATGCCCGAAGTTTTGACACTTAGTGCATTGTACTATTAGGGGCTTCTGTCTTGGTTCTTCAAATCGTACTGTCGAGTATACTAAACGTTGAACCTGAAATATTTCATTATTCGTTTTTGCTGGTTCCAAATCTATAAAAAATAATGGAAGCGGATATCTTTCCCTAGGATGTAGTACGGGTGCTATGTGCCTGACGTTATGACCGATTTCTTCCAGGCCTGTTTTGATGACAGATATAGGAGTGGTTGAATGTAGACCTCTCAGGACTACTCGAAACGCCTTGTCCTGTTTCAATTGGTAACAATGGAAGTCGTAGTTTTTGGAAGTTAAATGGCTAATCAATTTTTTATAGTTTTCTCTAGAGTTCGTGTTTATTTTAATGTCATTGATTCGAGAGAAGCAGCGAAAATTTGGCTGTCCGATTAGTTTTGCAATTTCTTGACCAAACGACACGAAGTTCTCAATTTTTGAAACAAAAACAGGTGGCGGTTCGGGGTCAGAAAAATCTTGAGGCTTCGGAATCTTGCTTGATAAATTGTTATCGAGAATAGTTTTCTTGCTGGCTGAGGTGCTTGGTGCAGTTGGCTCTGATTGTGTGGCATTAGATTTACTCCTCGTTTTAGGTGGAGATTTTTCTTGTTCTGCTGGCTTATTTGATTTGTTTGATTTATTTTTTGTTTTTTTCTTATTTGGTGAGTTGCTTCCCGAACCGGGAGCGGAGTTTCGGACACGCTTTTGGAGCGTACGTCTTTTCAAGTATTGCGAGTCAGTCTCGCTAATTTCTGAAAACTGTGTCTCGTTCTCCGAGTCTTCACAAGAAGTGTTCTTGTCCAAATCCATGGATTTATCCATGATGGTTAAATGAGTGTGAGAGAAAGAGAGAAAAAAAAATGTTTTTTAAACCTAAATATTAAAATGAAAATTATAAGATAGCTTCTTAAGAACTAAACTATTTACAAACTATATACAGATATAATATAAAATAATTCATTTCAGAATTAATTAATGAGTAAATAAAATAAAAGTCTCCTGAAAAATATTAAAAATATAGAGAAAAAAAAAAAAAAAAAAAAAGAAAAAAAAAAAAAAACCTAAATGTCTTGGATTCGAACTGTGAACAAAGCCGAAGAATGTTAGTATACACAGAGCCGAGTCTTGACCGTTACTTATTAAGATAAGGTAAACCCGTAAGGGATTACGGGCCACTTGGGCTTGCCGAACGAGCACTAATTTATTACTGCTTCATTGTTAATCAATAGTTACTAACCTGAACATATGTGACATAAAATGTACCACTGTTTATATAGTCACTGTTGATATAGTCTTACACCAGAATTTTAAATAGTAACCACATTACATAGTAACAAATACAGAGCGACGTGAATCTTCAACTGCACTTGCGGCCATGACACTTGCTACTAGCCTGCAAAATTAAATTCTGGATCTGCTACTGGGTCACTGTCAACTCAATAAACACCTCTTTGACCTAGAATTGACTGAGGCACCAATCTGCAGGTTCTGCAGGTTAGGTGGCCTCGAGGATGAAATCACCTATCACATATGATGATGTGATGTATTGGCTAGGGTGTGGTATTTCTGCTTTGGTTGTGCCTGCAATATTGGTTCTGAACTCTGTGAATTGATTGACCCTAATAGTATATAAAGTGTTCAAAGGGTACTGGACTGTTTTAGCAAAAAGTAGGACAATAGGCCTCAATGAGACTACAGTGCATTAGTACCCTCTCTGGGGTAAGAAAAAAAGTTTATTTTCTGCAAAAATAGAAGAGAGTATATTTTTATGATACTTTTGCAGCACTCAATTTTATTGATTAGAAACTTAAGTTATCTGCTTTTAATACTAATTTCAATTTCCAAAACTGTATAATTGAAAAAAAGAGACCTCATAAAATAGTCTAGAGAGGTTTAGATCCATTTTATTCATCTTGTTTTATTTTTTTTTTTAGTTGCGAAAAAAGAAAAAGAAAAAGCTGACAGTTTGAATTTGCCATGTATGGAAGACTGGCTTAAGAAAAGAGAAGATAATTTAGGTAAATGGAAGAATTTCAAATTCGAGCAGTATCATCCGCTTCAAACTTCTGGTGTATTACTACCTCCTTCATTACTTCCACCTACTTTAGAGCAAATGCGTAATACACAATTTGAGAAGTGGGGTTGATGGCTATAATTGTTTTTTGTGTATTTATAAAGTGTTAATTATTTGTATTATATCTTATTTAAATAAAATAAATTTAATATATTTAAAAAAGAATGAAAGTCTGCACCTTAGATTTTCACTGTGATTGATCATTAACATTTTTAAGTGCATTTTATTATTTAATATTTAAATATTTTTATATTCATTGGCCCATGGTCAATTTAGAACACGTCTTCATGCCTTTCGAAAATCCTCCATCCACAGAATTGGACACAAGAGTGTCCCCTGATATGGAACCTTCCTCGCATGATGCATTTCTGGATGCAATTGGTATTCTAAAAAATTGTAGGGCCCCTGGTGAAGATAATATACCAGCTGAACTGTTTAAAATAGGGGATGAACTTCTGAAAAATAAAATATATGACCTGATACTTAGGATCTGGCTGGAGAAGGAAATACCTACTGAATGTTCTTCTGGACTTATAGTGCCAATTCTGAAAAAAAGGGAACAAGACTGGCTAGAAATCTAGGTATACTAGGAACAAATTTTAATGGATTATCAATGTGGTTTTAGGCCCAATAGGAGCATGATTGACCAGATCTTTGTTATCAGGCAGGTGTTGGAAAAATACTATTAGCGCAACATAAATGTACATTTGCTCTTCATTGATTTCAAGCAAGCATTCGATCGTGTTAATAGAGTACAGTTAACTTTGGCCTTGTAGGAGTTTGGTACCTATACCTCACAGATTCTTGGATATGCTGATGGCCTTGTGGTTCTCAGAAGAAATGAACAAGCGATAAAGAATGTCCTCACTGAACTGGTGCCCGAATGTAAAAATGTTGGCCTAGAGATAAACAAACTGAAGACAAAGTACATGGTGGTGTCTGCATCTAAAGCAAGAACGTTGGCAGATTTCCAGGTTAATGATTATTCTTTTGAAGCAGTTGGACACTTTACTTACCTTGGAGTAAATATCTATTGCGAAAACAAAGTGAGTGAAGAAATCATGGTAGGAAATAGAGCGTATTACGGTCTTGTAAATCTCTTCAAATCCCCTCTTCTCTCTAGAGCTACCAATGAAGCTTTACAAATTGCTTGTCAGGCTTGTTGTTTGCCATGGCACAGAAACCTAGACGCTGAAAGTTACAGACTGACACCTGCTAAGTGTGTTTGAAAGGAAGATCCTAAGGCATATTTTTGGTCCAGTTCACGTTCAGGGTTAAAAACAACCAGGAGCTGGAAGATCCGATAAGGCATAAAAATATCACTTTTAGATCACTCTTTAAATTAATGCTTCATAAAATCACAAAGAATTAGCTGTGCAGAGAACGGAGGATGATAGAATGACAAAGAGAATAATGGAAGAGAACTTGTCCGGCAAAAGAAAAGGAGGACGCCCTTGGAGATGATGGGTGGATGACCTAGAGGAGGATGATGTTTCAAGGATTGGAATCACTGGATGGAAACAGATAGCATTGAATAGAGACGCATGTAATCGAATTGTATGGGAGGCCAAAGTCCATCTTGGAGTGTAGTGCCAGCAAAGTAAGTAAAGTATTTAAATATTTTTATATATTTATTGTAAGTCTATATGAAATGGAACATTGTACAATACTGTGTATGAGTTATGATTATTAGTATGAGAAAGATTGAATCAATATTAGCAATGAGATTTTATAACTTTTTTTATTGCAGGTTAGTCTTATCAAACAAAACAATCAATATCAATAATCGATCACATGTTAATATATCTTAAAACTAAAACATATTTTATATTATGCTAACTTCCTCCCTCCAGTTCCTTCTTAAGGAGGAACTCTAATACTTTAAACAAAAGAAAAACTGGTCTATATTTTAAATTTAAATGATAACAGAAAATACTTGCATTTATCTGAAACTTGAAGAATAACAGAACTGTTTACACATATTTATACAAGCAAAAAAAATATTATATAAAACAAAAAAAAAATTATCTAAATTGTACAAAACACATTAAAACTAATTACTGATTTTTAACGACCTGGAGTGTCTTGTTGAGCGCCGCAGCCAGACTCAGACCTGATACTTTTCGGGGTACAGGAAGTTCTTCGAGATGTACCGTACGCGATCTGAACAGGTATTTTACGTCCCGAATGGTAAACAAATTATTCTCCCTGATGATTATAATTTTATAGGGGCCCTCGTAGCGTGCGGCAGTTTTATTTCTCGCTCTTCTCAGCCGCCTGTACTCAGTTGTTCCTAATTTTAGCGGACCCTTGCTATAAACTACGGAGCGATTATTCGCGCGGTCCACGCGAGTCTGTTTTTCGCGAATTAGTTTTTCTCTAATTTTTTTCCATGACGTCTGTCGTTCCACTCGAGCTTGATATAGTGCCTCCCATAATTTATTATTATTGGTTGTGATGAGATCTCCTCTATCGCGTCGCCTTTGACCAAAAACGATTTCTACTGGAGATAAACCCGTCGCTGCATGTATTGTATTGTTGTAGGCAATCACTGCTCGCGGCATAGCGTCAAATGGATCCAAATTTCTTCCTAGTTTAAATAATCTAAGGTGTTCACCTAAAGTGTTGTGTAATCTTTCCACCGCACCTCTCCCTTTGATGTGATGGGGGGTGTTTAGTCGCCAAGTGATGTCCAGCGTTTTACATTCATTTCGAATAAAGGCATTGTCAAATTCTCGGCCACAGTCTGACACAATTTCGTCGGGCACACCATAAATCGCGCACCATTGTAAAATCCCTTCCCATACTGCTCGGGGTTTTTTCTCTTCAATGGGATGAGCCAAAGCGATTTTACTAAACGTGTCTAACATTGTTACCCATGATTGACCCTCGTTAGAATAAATGTCTACTTGTATTAAGCGTAGTGGTTCTGGTGCGGTGGGCGAGACTACTTGTTCAGCTACCGGAGGTTGTCGATCATATTTCGCCCGCTGACAGACTTCACACTTTGCGATATAATCCCGTACCGTTCGGCCCATATTTTTCCAGAAATATAATAATTTCAGCGCCCGCAAGGTCTCTTCCATTCCCCGATGGTTCGTTTTGCCAGTGTGGTGATCATTGACAATTTTCTGTTGTACCGCCGGTTCGGTAACTGTTTCTACTTGTCGTAAGCACCTAACGAGTGAATAGCCCATTCCTATTCTCTCTTGTCGCCATAATCTTTTCATTTTATCGACAATTGCACGATTTCTCACATAAACATAACATGTACGGCCCCGTTGACTAAATTCTGTGAAAATCCTCTCTAGCTCGTTGTCGTCTATAGATGCAGGTGTATGGACTAAAATCGTTGATAACCCCGCGTACACACTCGCGTGTGTTTCCAGCCCCGGACTCTGCTTCGATTTTATGATAATTTGAAATTTTTTATCATTTATAACCTCGTCGACTTCGGGTATCCCTTGTGATCTGTCTATTTGTGTTCTAAGGATTTCCTCCATGTCAGGTTCGGTAGGTATGTCCTCTTCGTCAATTGCATTTACTACCAGCTCCCGCGACAACCAGTCGGCGACTACATTGTCAACTCCTTTTTTATGAACAACATGGAAATTATACGCCGCGAGGCGTTCTTTCCATCGTGAAACTCGCGCGGATGATTCTCTCAGAGTGTCTAAGGATAGTAGGGGTTTGTGATCAGTGATCAGTTCGAAACGTCTTCCGTATATATAGGGGCGAAAGTATTCTATTGCCCACACTACCGCTAATAATTCGCGTTCGATAGCGCTGTAGCGACGTTCGGCGTCACTTAACTTTCGGCTTGCATATGATATCGGCTTTTCTCCTATTTCATAATTCTGTGACAATACGGCCCCAATAGCAATTTCACTCGCGTCTGTGGTAACTTTAAATGGCCTGCGGAAGTCGGGAAAAGCTAACAGCGGACGAGTGGTAAGAATCTCACGACATTTCTGAATACTCGATAATTGCTCTGGCCCTAATTGAAATCTCCTCCCTTTCTTTAATATTTCTGTTAACGGGTGAATTATTTCTGCTATTCCTGGAATGAATTTCCGATAATAGTTAACCATATCTAAAAAACGTCGAACTCCGCGAGCATTCTTAGGTAATGGTGCCTCCCGAATACCTTTTACTCGTCCCGCATCAGGTTGTACCCCGCTGGAGGATACTACGTGCCCCAAAATTTTAATTTCCTTTAACCCAAATTTAGATTTTTCACGGGATAATTTGAGTCCGAATTCGCGTACTCTGTTGAAAACTTGCTTTAGATGTTGAACGTGTTCTTTCTCAGTTTTGCTGAAAACGATAAGGTCGTCCATATAGACTTGGGAAAAATCTTCACCTAATCCTCTCTGTAGCTCGTCCATGAGTCTTTGGAAAGTTAATGGGGCCCCTTTTAACCCGAATGGCATCCTGACAAATTCAAAATGGCCCCGTTCCCATGAGAATGCTGTTTTCCCGATATCCTCCTCCGCCATTCTAACTTGGTGGTAACCACTTTTGAGGTCCAGAGTACTGAAAATATTTGCTCCCGACAGTCGATCCAGTATATCCTCTACCCGAGGAAGAGGATAACGTTCGTCTTTTGTCGCTTCGTTCAGCTTCCGGTAGTCTACTACTACTCGATATTTCTTTGGTTCACCTTTCTGTTCACCTGGTTTCTTCTCAACTACCCATAAAGGACTATTAAACGGGGAATTGCTATATCTGATAATTCCTTGTGTCCGTAACTCTTCCAATTGTTCTCGAATAATTTCTCTCATGGCTTGGGGATACCGCCTATCCTTAACGTAGATTGGGAATTCTGTCTTCAGGTGAATTCGATGTACCGTTTTTCCCGTTGTTGGCAAAACTTCGTTTTCTTTGTAAAATAAATCTTTGTTTTGTTTCACTAAATGTGTAATTGCCTTTTTGTACATTCCGCGGCCCCGATTTTAATGTCTTCGTGATTTCCCTTTTTTGTAATTCGGTACATTCGTTTCCCTATTTTATAACGCCACTCCTTATTGTTAACTCTCATCTTTAAACCCACTCGCTGTAGAATATCACAACCAATAATTAAATCATAACTTGGCATTAATTGCTCAATAATGTGAATTTTTATATGCGAATCCCGCTCCGTTAGCTCACTAAGACACAAAGAGGATTCGCCTA